TACCTGAATTTGTCTAGATATCAGTTAACACCCTGAATCACAGTCTACTCCTGAGATGTACATACAAAGTCCCTGATATTTCGGATAATGTGAATGATCTTATTATCAATGCATTTATGCTCTAAACTTCAATTCTAAGGTAATTACTGGAGGTTTAAATAATCCCGGAATAAACTGCAATAACGGTCATTGTCAGTCATGTCGTTATAGATTTTAGCAACAATTATAATTTTAACCAAATTAAAGTAAAGCACAAGTTAAAAGCTATTAATTAGTTGTTAGCACTTAATGTAACCTCAAAAGCACAAAACTTAACTCTCATTTTCAATAAACGCAATAAAGCAATTCAAAATACATATATCCTACATAATGACACTTTTATAAACGACTCTAAAGCCATTGCAAACCTTTTCAGAGATATTTTTGCGCACAGTAATGAATTTCTAAATGGCACTGTCTCAAAAGTCATGTATATGATTATTAACTCAATAAAATTTATTTCCTTCGCATACGTAAAAATTGGTAAGACTATAAACTCCCTGAAGGTTTCAAGAGATTATAGAGTAGATGGGATTTCATCCTTTCTCTACAAATATGGTGGACCAGGTATTCCACTTTTCCTTCCAAAACTGTTTACTTTCTCTATGGGATCAGGTACTTACCCTTACTGTTGAAAAACAACGTACATCATACCGCGTTACAAATCGGAGATAAGACTGTCATGAACAATTATCGGCCCATAAATATTACTCCAGTTATCTCTAGGGTTATGGAAAAAATTATTAGTGACGAACTCTCCAACTATTTACTTACTGAAAAATTTATCAATGATATTCAGCATGGATTTCTTAAATATTGATCTTGTATGACATGCCATTTTGACTTCTTTAATTTAGTCTATTCCCAACGTAACCAAGGATATCTAGTCTTAGTGCTATACTTGGATATTTCTAAAGCCCTCGACATGGTTAACCACCAACTTCATATAAATAAACTCACATCCTACGGGTTCCAAGACCCTTTGCTTGCTTGGTTTGATTCCTTCCTCAGCAACCAACATCAAACAGATAAAATTAATTCATCATTGTCGAACGCTGTCCCTGTAAGAAACGGTGTAATACAGGGTAGTGCCTTAGGCCCTTTTCTCTTTTAAGTTTTTATCAATGATAGTTGTGAGTGTTTTTATGTGGACAAGCCCCTTCTGTATGCAGAAGATCTTAAAATAGTGTATTTATTTTCTCCTCATGAGCTGAACAGTATGCAAAGTTACATCATTATGGAGCTCAACAAAATTGTATGAAATACCATTTGCAATTACAATACGTAAAGTTAAGGTTGTTGATCAAATAAGCTAGATGTTTAATATTGAAATGGCTAGTAGGTATTGTTTCCTTGAATCGAATTTAAAAGCTAAGACTTATTCAAATTATTACTCTTCGCTCGCATATCTGTTTTTTTTAATATGACGGAGATCTTTAAACAATTATATCTATCATTCTGAATTCAATGCTAGCAGCGAAATCACAATACTATCAGGAAACATTTGTAACCTTATAATCGTGACCACAAAAATATAGTCAAAAAGATTATCAGGATTAGAGGATTTCTCGCAATAAATAGTCTTAAACAAATGTCTGTTTCTTTTGTTTAAAATCTGCATGCAATCCGCTGATCATGTCATAAATGTTCATCAAATTTTGCAAATTGGTTTAATCTACTCATGTTGTTTAACAGTAAGTTATTTCGTTTTATGATTATTATAAAATGCATTTAAATGTGATGTAGATAAGTAATGAAAAATATTTACAACATTACATACCATTTATCCGAAAATTTTGGTTTTAAAGATTCACGGAGAAAGACTAGATTTAATAACCATGAATCTTTTCTAGTTGTGCCTTTTCATTATGTTGTTTCTAAAGATCTAATAGTTTATATAAACTATACCTCTCCCAGATCGATTAGCACTGATCTACATAGATCATACTTAGATCCTCGTCACTGCTTGACGAAGAGGAACTCTAAGAATGACGTGGTTTACTCCGAATACTGATTTCATACAGAAAATATCTCGTCAAAAACTAATGACTTTATTTATAATCTTTTCAGGAACAGTTGAAACATATTAGGTTCAGTGTACGCCTATAGGCGTACTTCTACTGTGATATAGTTCACTACCACATATCTTCTTAGCTGATGCTAATTTAAATCCCAATTACAGTCCAACTAACTATAGTTTTGTTAGTATATCACTTGACCTATTTCTGCTTTGTTGATTTAAGCCTGTTTTCTTATAGGTATGTCCCTCCACTAAATCTAAGTGTAAACTATTATTTTTTAGCTACTTTATTCGTACACTAGACTTTAAAGAAGTTTCGTCATTTGAACTGGTTTCATTTAATATTTCAACCCAGTTTTAGTAAATTTATTGTAAAGTCAACTATGATATATTGTATCATTTTTCTTTGTATTATAAAATATAAATTTAACATTGCCATCACTAACCATTACAATTAAGTATGTAGATCATAATCCCTATGATCTCTATGGGTACTTGGTATTATTATCTCTCAGCATATTATGATGAGCCTAATTTACCTTCATTATTTCATAACAGATAGATTACTTTAATCAAAAAACTATATGAACATCAGTCTTCTGAAAATAAATACTTCAAAATCATTTATTATTAAGTTATAATAATTTCATTATGACTGATAACAACATATATAATTGTATACATTCGTAAATATATATCATTTATATTATTGGAATAAATAAATGTTGTGAAAGCATACAAATCTAAGTTTCACAAAGTTACTGAGAATTTTGAATTTAAGATTATCTTAGCATTTAATTGTTTGATAGGTAATACAATATGAACTCTACTAAAAAATCATAGCTTGTTTAGTGATATAGTTCATTTATATCAATAAATTCAAAGTAGAAGTAAAACTATGAATTCAAAACTGAAGATAATTTCATATGTGTATGTGTCAACTATTAGGTAATTTAATGAGCATTTTATGGTTTATACGAAAATTGATGTCGATGTAGAATGTTCTTTTACAGTTCTCTTTGAAATTTCAATTTTTTTTGGGAGGGGGCAAAAATATTTTTAAAAAATGGTTCCTTGTTTGAATTTGGTGATTTAAAATTTTCAGGATACTCTTTTCTCTATTTCATGGAAACTTACTTACGATATAATAATTCCTAAATCTTCCTTCGGTCTTTTGAGCAAAATATAAGCATTTTATTAAGAAACATTTCCGCCAAATAATCTTTATAACTGATAAAACAAAATTCCCAATGGTTAACTTATTTCTCCTTCTATATATTTTTAAAGATATCAATAAATTAACTCTATGAAGCTATGCCTAGTATGGACTCAGTAAGCAAAATGACCCATCAGTTATGTTCACTTGATTTTCTTTAGAAATAGATTATATACATAAATCCAAATGACTATGTCTATTATGGATTGTTATATTTAAGTATTATTTGTTTTGTTAAATTAATGACAAAATATACGCTTTTAACATTTATCACTGGGAACACTTCTCGCATAAACATCATTATCCAGTATATACCGATCTGCTAACATTCAGGCCATTTCGATGAGATTCATCTTTTTCTAACAATAAAAATATTTAGATCAGAGTAGCTGTGGATACGTGTCCCTAGTATTTCAAAAATTTTTGCCACTTTGACTACCAGTGAAAAAATTTCAAATGTATATCTCAAGGGTTTCATATTTGGAATGAACATTTTGTCAACACTCAGTCTTTTTACCAACTTTCCTTAAAGAAGAAAGCCAGAACAATAATTTCCCATGATTTTAAATAGATTATCTTCTCTCTTATGATGGTTTATTAGTTCTTCGGTTTGCGACAAACTACAATATTCATTTCCCTTAATTTCCTTTCTTTTATGTTCTTCTACAACATGTCTTACGAGAGCAATGACGGAGCATTTAGCTTCAAATAAGGCAAAAAGGGAAACCGATTTCCTAATTTATGAGAATTCGTCCAAACGTTTTTCTAGAACAGATAGATAATTGTACCAGTGCATTAACACGTAATAATATCACAGAAGCGGTTGAGTCTGAGAATTGATTTAATTACAAATCGATATCTCACTGCTATCAGTTCAGAGGGGGTAGTAACGTACAAATGAAAATACATGTGTTTTCGTTTAAAAAATACTGAATATACTAGAGTTTATGTTCAAATGTTTACCTCTGCAGTAATAAACCAGAAGCTTAACGAAGCAACAGAAGACAAACGATATTGTTTGGTGTTTGAAGACAACAGTCGCTTACTCATAAAAACATAGTTCACAGCACAACAAACCTTTCTCCAGTAACGGTCTACTTAGAAAAAACTAACGCTGTGAGTAAACTTACTATAGATTAGAATATCATTCCAGCATACAGTACATGTCCGGCGTAATGCAGTCAGATGTGGCAAATCAAAATTCCAACCAGAGCAAAATTCACAGCATATTATAGCTCTTTAATAAAAAATACTTCATAATATAACGAATTCAATGACTACATAAACGTGAACATGACCGCTATTACACTGGGTGATACATCAGGTTTACGTGGAAACGTAGGGTTTTAGCCCACCTGACACAGATCGTTTGTGATCTACAGTCTGAATACTGATTGTTTCATCATTTCACTGAAATAATGGATAGATGTAGATAAAGACAATAAGGAAACACCTGGCCCTTTTTAAAACTCTGACAGGATAGGATACAATCGGAACCATGACGAAGGAATTTCGTGTGTTATAACTAAGGAAACCCCAACAACTATCGTTGAAAAGCACCTGGAACCTATTGTTAAAAGTAGTAGTTTCTGTTCTTACAATTGGTCTAACAGAAAAAGAACTAGAAAAAGATTTATACTGAATAACCCCGTTCATTCTTCAAGTTTGAATCTGAAGTCTGATGCTACATTGGACATGGTATTCCTGCCCCTCTATTTGGTTTCCAATGTTGACCTTGGAGAACGGCGCTAACAAACGATAATGAAGGTAGAGGAGTTTTACTCCTTGTTAGGAGAAAGACGGAAAAGTTTAGCAGATATTCTACTCTCTAAATTTGGAAAAGACTTGGAAAACATACAGGCAAATCACATTAACTTTTCTTATACACTGAATTAACAGAACTCATGTAATGATGCGTGCGCTGCCCAGAAAGATTTTCTTGATGTTGATGATGAAGTAGAGAACCAAATAAATTCGATAGCTGCGAATCGTTACGAGAGGTTTGGTTTCATATGACGGTTACAATTGAGTATGAATATATAGGTTAATAAATGATATTGAGCTTCAGGCAAAAGGACTCAAGTTACCCAGAACGGATGATAAAGAAACTAAAGTTGGTACGTGAATTTTATTTTATATTTTAAGGCAATACTATGTCCGGCAATTACCCCACCCGTATCTTTAGTTACCCGAATAGTACTTCACAAATGCCTACACAATATAACCAAATCTTTGGAGTCTCTGAAGTTCCCTTTAGCTATAGGTCCCATCCACTACGCTCCGTTTTCATTCCCCTGAAGTAGTTAGGCTTTCTTTGAGGCAAAGGAGTAAATCGCAACATGTTCTACATATGTGTGAGAACATTTAGAACTCGCCGTAAACCTTTGAAGGTATTTCTTAAATTTAGAGCAAAATGTCTGGGAATTGCAAAGTAGACACTATCTTGGAGTTTACATCAAGTGATTACTTTAATTTTTGACGCAGGAAACAAGTGTTTGTCACTGCTGGCTAACAAACTAGTGTATGAATGCCTAACAAAGCGTCTCGATTGAGTTGCGTAGCTTAGGTTGACTCAATTTGTTCTGTTTTAGTAGCACAGATTCCATACTAAAACTATTGTACTTTAAACAAATAATTCCCGGATTTCATGTTCGGGTATTTGGTATTGTCATTGCTCAATACAACTGTCTTTATTGTCTGTGTCATCTGCCTTTAATGGATTTTTATCTGATGTTGATATATCTGTATGTGACCGTTACAATAATCCAACTGAAAACCATCATATATTAGGCACAACAGTTGTATTTTCCGAACATCGGATTCTGGCAGAATACTTGAAAGAAACCTATGATCGGAAACCCCCATCCAGCCTGTTTCTTTACTTTCACAGACCATGTTGCATAGCGGTGGAATAAGGCAGAGTAGAATGCTATCCAGTTCAGTGTATTGCCCTTCTACGACGTAGCTATTGCAAGTTGGTCCGTACTCTGCATCGGCGTGGTAATATTGAAGTAAGAAATAAACCTGTAAATGTTCATTGACAACTCTATCTTGTATGGGTTCATAAATTACTATGTACCTCATATTGTTTTACGTGTTGCTATTTAAACACTAATATAAAAGATAGCATTTATATTAACTATCAGAAGCCGGCGAGCTAAAATATTGAGCAACCTCAACATCCCTTTCAGTTGTTCTAATACACTGCAAGTGCTCTGAAGACATTTTCATAAATACTTGCAACCTAATTCATCTAACCTATTCTTAGCACTGCTTTCCTTAATGACAATGAACCCCAAGAACGAAAATGTGGTGACACAAGTCCTGAAGGCGTGGTACAGTGTGAAAAGCTATAGGCAGTCATGTTTAATAATGGCGGCTTCCAATAGTATTTATTTTGTTCCTCTATTAAGCCTAGTACACAGCGCTTTGGAGACAAATAAATACCTGTGACCTATAAATACGATCCGATCTTAACATTGGTGTTTTATAGTCAAACAAATGGAGTTTGGATCACTACCAAGTATGCTAAGTCCATAATAAATGGTCATGTATGTCACTTATATCATTGTTAGTGTGGGTTGAGGTTACCTATATAAATGTTGTGTGTACTCCGTGATGTAGCTGGAAACTGACCTATCAAGAGCAACGTAGCTTTCAATAATACTAAAATACCCTAAACACTCGAAAATTTCTCCAGATTCTTAATTCAAGCTTTCGGTACAAGCCACTTAGCAGGTGTGAAGTTTATCTAAGTATTCGGAAGGTCAATCGTCTCGTTTTTGCTGGACATAACTGTCTCCCTTGGGTTTATTTATGCGGCACAAATCAGTTCTAGTAAGTGGTTGTTTGAACTCTAAGAGCCCAGTTGGGGACTCGGAGTGTATACGTAATTGACATTTTTGTTATCCCTAACCAGTTATAGAGTTAATTTGAAATATGTATCCACTGTGCTTACTCATTCTGAGGTGATAGTCACAACTCAACGGCATCCCAGGAAATTCTGGTTGTATAGTCAAATTTTCCTGTCTTACAACTCAAGCTACGTAATAACTCAAGCTTAGCTGTTAAGGCGTTCGTCTTTCAGCCACTAGGTCTCACACCCATTAGATCTCACAATTAAAGTGTAGCTCATACCCAAGTACTTGGTAAATGAGTTGACTATTTGATAATAGAGGAATAAAATCAAGAACAATTTGAACAAAACCTATCACTTGTCGGTCCTAAATTCACTTGACAAGTTCAGACAAAGGATTTAACGTCTGACCAGTGATTGTCTACTAGGATGTGTTGATAAAGACCATAGAATGATGTAACTAGGACTTGTCAATCCAGCAACACTACCCATTCATTTTTTAAATAAGATTTCCTATAACCAGAAACCTAAGCTTATTGTTTGCTAGATAAATTTATCGTCGTTGTTCATAGACTTTTTTTTCATTTTTAGGTCTTGATAAAATGATTCACTTGTATTTAAAACGTCAAAGCAACATCATAGGTAATGATTCCAACCTGGAAAAGAACCGTAAAAAACTATGTCGTTTGTTAGAGACTGCCAGATCACAGAAGAATTCTGGTAATACAGTCGTCAAAAAGCTGGAGGGATCTGCATCGCGTAAGATTCGTTCAGCTGTATCACAAAGTTTCACGAAACACACACGTCGGGTTCCAGGCTTGAGTGCTAAGTCAGAAAAAATCCCTGTTGATCACTGGCCCTCGTAAGTTTATTTGTATGATCCTGGTCACTACATCTAAATAATAACTGAACCCCTTTAAATGTTATTTAACTTTTTAACATGCTTTTGATCATGTATTGTAAAAATTTATCATATATTCATAGTACACTTCAGGGTGAAATGATGCCATCTTATATGTTGTAGTTGAAATTATTTGCAAACATTGTGAATCTTTTCAAATAATTTGATTTTAAGCTAGAAAGATATGATTGACGTCATGTTTTTTCATTGCTAACTAAGAGCTTAACTAATAAAATGTCTGTTTGGAGAATGCAATGTGTTGTTCTACATAGTGAAGTCATGACTATGTGGATCAATGATTTAAATATCCGTATCAACTTTTTACATTTACATATAGGTCAAAAAATGGCTTTTTCTGTTTACTTAGAGGATTTCTTACACATGAGGGTGTACGGAGGAGATTAACTACAGCTCAGATTTGTGAATATGTTCGTGAATGGCAAGTTTGCAATCAAAACAGGTTAAGAACGGTTGGGAGAGGTTGCAGCTGGATCGATCGGGTAAATTATGTAAAGTGTTTATTTTCGAAATGCATCTGTAAGAATGTAGTTCAATTTCGTCCCTAAAAATGAATTCTTTGGTTCGTGTAATTAACCGCTTGTGTCACTGAATAAAAATAAAGAGAATTCAGCGGATAGAATTTTCCTTTCCATGAAATCTTTAATCACTTTATGATCCAAACTTTTATGTCCTTCTATAAACTTACATATCTATCAAACTTCTGCAGTTTCTCATTCATGGTCGATATATCAGAATGCAGAAAAAATATTTATTTATTCAAACACATGAAATCTGGTACAATTAGGCACCAAATGTATGTGTGCCACACTTCATTCGATTTTTGTGAGAGCTGGAATACTGCCTGGGAGCCAAAACAGAAGCTCGTGGTTTTCTTAGAGGGTCATACCCGAGCCTTTGACCTATAGGTCTAATCCACAAGGCAGTAGAGCAACGTTAAGAGATACAGTCTTACGGTAACCGGTGACCAACAGCATGTCCATACGCTATTTGTTCCCCAGGATACTGGAGCTCATGTGCACCACGAGAAGGCAGTGTTTTGGACTTCCCTGATAGTAGCTGTATACATGTGTTCATGTGGGAGCATTTTGAGAGGAAGAGCTGGTTCTCCTCACTCTCAACCGTACCAGGGCATTTGGGGGCATAAAAATCTAACTTATGTGGTATTTGTGAGAAAGTCATTTTTAAGTTACTATAGTAGCTAATGAAAGCAATGACAAACTGAACATGCTTAGAGCTAAAACTTTTATTTTTAAGATGCAAATGTGTATTAACGTCAATCATTTCATAGCTTTTAGTACGACTGGATAATTTCTGAGATGCTCATCAGTTAATACTTTACTGTCAAGAACTTTTCGATTTCTATCAGTCACAAATCATTGCGTAGATTTTACTTTTCTCCGTTTGCGTAATATCCACGATTGTATTAACTAAATCAGTGATTGAAATGTAGTTAATGACAATCAGTTTTGTATCATTACACATATATGTACTAAATGCGAAGCTCTTAAGATGTTTAAGCGCCTTTACTGTAATAAGTAGAAATCCTTCATTGATAACTTACTTACTTACTTACGCCTGTTACTCCTCGTGAAGGAGCATAGGCCGCTCACCAGCATTCTCCATCCAACCCTGTCCTGGGCAATCCTTTCCAGCTCCGTCCAGTTGTAATTCATCCTTTTCATATCTGCTTCTATTATCCGACGCAATGTGTTCTTTGGCCTTCCTCTTTTTCGCTTCCCTTCAGGATTCCAAGTTAGGGCTTGCCTCGTGATGCAGTTTGACGATTTGCGTAATGTATGTCCTATCCATTTCCATCGTCTTTTCCTAATTTCTTCTTCAGCTGGAAGTTGGTTTGTTCTCTCCCACAGAAGGCTATTGCTGATGGTATCCGGCCAATGGATGTTGAGTATCTTGCGTAGACAGCTATTTATAAATACTTGTACTTTCTTGATTGTGGTTGTTGTAGTTCTCCAAGTTTCAGCTCCATACAGTAGAACTGCCTTGACGTTCGTATTGAAGATTCTCACTTTGATATTGGTTGAAAGTTGTTTTGAGTTCCATATGTTCTTCAATTGTAGGAATGCGACCCTTGCTTTGCCGATCCTCGCCTTTACGTCTGCATCTGAACCTCCTTGTTCATCGATGATGCTTCCTAGGTATGTGAAGGACTCTACATCTTCCAGAGTTTCGCCATCAAGAGTGATTGGATTGCTGTTCTCCGCTTTGAATTTGAGGACCTTGGTTTTCCCTTTGTGTATGCTGAGGCCTACTGATGCAGAGACTGCTGCTACACTGGCTGTCTTCATCTGCATCTGTTCGTGTGTACGTGATAGGAGGGCTAGGTCGTCTGCGAAGTCCAAATCGTCTAATTGATTCTGAGTTGTCCATTGTATTCCGTGTTTTCCTTCAGATGTCGAGGTCTTCATAATCCAGTCGACCACCAGAAGAAAGAGGAAGGGAGAGAGTAAACAGCCTTGTCTGACTCCAGTCCTTACTTGGAATGCATCTGTCAGCTGTCCTCCATGCACTACTTTGCACTGTAGTCCGTCGTATGAGTTCCGGATAATGTTGACAATCTTCTCAGGAACTCCGTAGTGTCGAAGAAGTTTCCATAATGTCCTCCTATCTACACTGTCGAATGCCTTTTCATAATCAATGAAGTTGATGTATAGTGATGAGTTCCACTCAACTGATTGTTCGACGATGATCCGTAGTGTTGCAATTTGGTCTGTGCACGACCGATCCTTACGGAATCCAGCTTGTTGATCTCGAAGTTGGGCGTCTACTGCATCCTTCATCCGGTTCAGCAACACTCTGTTGAAGACTTTCCCTGGTATTGACAGTAGTGTAATGCCTCTGTAGTTTTCACATTTGCTCAGATCTCCTTTCTTTGGAATCTTGACGAGGTGTCCTTCTTTCCAGTCCATCGGCACTTGTTCCTCCTCCCAAATCTTTTTGAATAGAAGGTACAGCATGCTTGTGGTTGCTTCGATGTCTGATTTCAGTGCTTCAGCTGGTATGTTGTCGGGTCCTGCTGCTTTCCCGTTCTTGATTTGTCTGACGGCCATTCTAATTTCTTCCGTCGTTGGTGGGTTGACATCTATAGGAAGATCTATGTGTGCTGCTTCGATGTCCGGTGGATTCATTGGAGCCGGCCTATTCAGGAGTTCCTCGAAGTATTCCACCCATCTGTTACGCTGATGTTGAATTTCGGTGATTGGCTTGCCTTCTTTGTCTTTGACCGGCCTCTCTGGTTTACTGTATTTCCCTGCTAGTTTCTTCGTTGTATCGTAAAGCTGTTTCATATTTCCTTCTCTAGCAGCTTTTTCTGCCGTCGTTGCTAGTTCTTCCACGTATTTCTTCTTGTCGGCTCTAATGCTCCTCTTCACTTGTTTGTTTGCTTCTATGTATTCAGCTTGTGCTTGGACTTTCTCTGCTCGTGTTCGGCTGTTGTTAATTGCTGCCTTCTTGTTCTTCCTTTCTATAGAGATCCATTCCTTATGATGGTGTTTCTTTAGGCCCAGAACCTCTTGACACGTTGAAGTTAATGCTTCCTTGATGCCTTTCCAGTTGTCCTCCATAGTAGTTTCTTCTTCTTCAGTAGATCTTGTAAGGCTTGGAACCTGTTGTTGAGAGCTATCTTGAATTCATTGAGTTTGTCAGTATCTCGAAGGAAGGCTGTATTGAACCTTTGTAGTGCTGTTTGTCCACTTGTCCAGTTCTTTTTTAGCTTCAGTTTTAAATTGGCTACAACTAGGTGGTGATCTGAAGCTACGTCAGCACCTCTCCTGGTTCTCACATCTTCCATTGTCCTTCGGAATTTTTTGTTGATGCAAATATGATCTATTTGGTTCTCTGTAGTGTGGTCCGGTGAGATCCATGTAGCCTTGTGTATACGCTTGTGTGGAAATATTGTGCCTCCTATGACCAATTTGTTGAATGCACATAGATTTGCAAATCTTTCTCCATTTTCGTTTCTCTGTCCCAGTCCATGTCGTCCCATAATATCTTCATATCCAGTGTTGTCTATTCCGACTTTGGCATTTAGATCTCCCATCAGAATAGTTAGGTCCTTTCTTGGGCATTTCTCAATGATTGACTGCAGCCGCTCGTAGAACTGATCTTTAATGTCGTCGTTGCTATCATTGGTGGGTGCATAACATTGGATAATATTCATTAAGATCCCCTCCTTCTTTGTTTTGAATGATGCTTTGATGATTCTGGATCCGTGAGACTCCCATCCTACAAGTGCATTTCGTGCTACTTTGGACAGCATAAGAGCGACTCCCTGAGTGTGTGGAGCATTTTCCTCTTCGTGACCGGAGTATAGCAGCATCTCTCCCATTTTTAGCCTTTTCTGTCCAGCTTGGGTCCAGTGGGTTTCGCTGATTCCCAGTACTGCTAAGTTGTATCTCCTCATTTCCATTGCTATTTGACTGGTCTTCCCGGTTTCCCACATTGTTCGAACGTTCCATGTACCTATAAAAATTTTTGCTCTGGTTGTTAGAAGGGGCATCGGCCTCGTGGCTTCCGAAGGAACTCGGCTTTCACCATGAAGCGTCATAATTCTTCTAAATGAAGACCTTCTAACTCCTAGGGCAGAGTTAAAATGGTTTGAATTATTTTTTCTGGTTAGCGTTTTTTTAGCGAGTTAGTTTTCTACGGATGGGTTCGCTAACCCCATGCCCAACCCTCATCCTTTACTCGGGCTTGGGACCGGCAGTAACTCTAGAAGAGCTACAGGCGGAGTTTTCATTGATAACAATTAGACGATATTTTGTCTGTTTGGTCCTTAGTTTGCCTCGGTGTATCAACCCGATTTCACGACTATCAGTTTACAGACAATTGATCATTTCGATCTACATTTAGTTTAGTTTTCTTTTAATGTAACACGATTTTTATTCAGGTTGAAGACTGGTCTTCTGTAACTCATCATGCATTAGATTTTCTTACCGCAGAAAGTTCACCCGAAAGTGTCATACGTAACAGTTCTCGCCGGCTTGTATGTCCGAGACCGTTTGTTAGTTTAAAACCGCGCATTCATCAGTGGTGTTGGCTCCTGTGCCCCCCATCAGGAATAAACCCTAAAGTCGACCAAGAATGGATCCAAAAATTTGAACTGGAAACCAGAGAGTTGACGGGTTTATTTTCTGACTGGCTTCGAGCTCCTCGTGGTCTTGGTGGGTTGACAGATGCAGTCTTGTCGATAACAGACTCCTTGCTTTTGAGTGGGAGGAATAAAGTCAAATCCGTTAAGAATACAAATTCTTCAGTTAAGGAAAAACAGTATTCTGAAGGATCTGATGGTGACGGTGATGTAGAAGACTCAGAAATTGATGAAGGTGAAAGATGTTTACGAATAGATGATTGCCAAGTTGAGTCAGATGATGGCGATAAGAAAAGTGGAGACATCCAAAAGATTAGAAGAAACATTTCATCAAAACACTCTCAACAGTCAATATCCCATGAAGATAATCGACTTTATTCCGACGATGATATCCCTCCACCACTTTAGTAAGTCTAATTTCATCAGCCATATATTTTCATTTTTGAGATTTAAACTATCGGTTGTGACCATAACTCTATTTTTCACGTACTTTTTTTTAAGAGATAAGTTTTTTAGGTTATTTTATTCTTAGTTATTAAAAATTAAACGTATAAATTTTTCAGCCTAAACATATACAACTTTAAGGACAGAAATAATGATTGTAATCAACATTAAAATGGTTCTTTGGTTATTGATATGTACTGATTTTACATTCGTAAACCCTTCTTGCTATTATTTACACGCTCAGTAGATGCTCAGTGCCTGTACTTAAGTAAAGTTCGTGTTTTAGACAAATGGAATAAAAAACTGTGTCATGATGGCTTTCTTAATTCAAAATGTTCCTCCTTCCAGCAGCACGGAAACAAAACAGTTCAGTATTAGAACAGAGATATATCGTTAAATATAAATTGACCACGATATTTCACTGTACGTAAGTGTTGTTGCACAGAAACACAATGTCCCGACAAATTGTTCATTTATGCAATTGTGGCATAAAGATTATGTAATTGGCATTTTTCTCTGTTGTGTATTTTTTGTGAAAGTATTTGACATTAGAGGCTTTCTATATTTATTGTTATTCGATCACATCTGTTCTCTACAGAAACTAATACTTTCTATTATGCATGTCCTGTGGTATTGTAAGTCAGCTTCTCTTTCATTCCAGTCCAACTAGATGGAAACTCCGACCATTTTCAAAGGAAGAGAAGGCTGATTTTCAATTGCAAGTAAGTTTAGTGTTTGTATTTTTATGCATCTAAATATAAATTAACTAATAATAAAAGAGATAACTTCTACTTTGTCCATAATATCGACTTATTAATTTATTCATCTACTACACCTAAAGTTACTTGTATAAAAGTGAATTGGTCACTTGAATACTAATAACTATGCTGAAAAAACTCCCGACCGTTGTTGCTACCTTGACGTGGTGGTCGGGTTTGCCTATCGTGATGAAGCAACCGAGCTATACTGGCTGAGACAACCGTTCCTCAAGGTCCTACCATGTCAGAAAGGTCGGTTGAAGAGCGGTAAGACTAAAAGCAACAAACCCAAGGTTCGAAGGCGAAGTCGTACTGCTGACTGTACAGAGGTGTGACAGCAGTAAGGTGTTTCCTTCAGACAACCAGCATGACAGCGATGCTGCCTTCCCACAAGGAGGGGTGGGGTTAGAAAAGGTCGACCCTAAAAACGCACACCTCGCCTTATCCCACGGATATCCGTCTCCGGCGGTAAGGTCTCAACAAGTACGGAGCTAACACAAAAATTACCCACAAAAAGGTCGTGTGTGACCGACCTCAAGCAGTTGTCCCTTGGGCACTGCGGTCACGCTCTCAGGTCACTGAGACCACCTTTAATCCAATTTCCTTTTCAGGTACCTCCAGAAGAACCCTTCCACGGTGTGGGCAACCGGGAAGTGATAACCGCCCTCATACCTCTAACAGCACTCAAGACCACTGTATTCATAATCAACCTTCCTCTTCAATTCCTATTATTCCTCCTACATCGACTTTCAACCCTAAACTTCCTCCTTCGGCTTCCTCCTCAAGTGTCACCATAGCCAACGATTCTAGTGCTCAAAACACTGTCCCAGGTCTACTGAAACCTCGCTCCAAACTTCAACGTACGAACCCTATGTCAAATCGGTCAGCAGGCTTCCTTGGCTAAAACCCTAGAGTCTCTTACCATTGATGTATGCTGTGTCTCCGAAACACGCATACAGGATTCCAGTGTGGTCATTCACTTGACCTCACCTCGGCAAAACGGAGAGCCAACGAGATACACCCTTCGTGTATCTGGTGACCCGATGGCCAGTTCTCGTGGACTGGCAGGTGTAGGCATAGCACTAAGCATGAGGGCGGAACAAGCACTGCTAGAGTGGATCCCCGTCAACAGTCGTCTATGTGCTGTTCGGCTGAACGGCTCCGTAAGAACTCGGAAGGATAGGGACACACGTCGTTGCCTTTTTGTCGTTTCTGCCTACGCTCCCACTGACTGCAGCTCAGATGAAGTGAAAGATGAATTTTACAGAAAGCTATCCGAACTTCTTCAGAAAGCTAAACGCTCAGACATAGTACTCGTAGCAGGTGATTTTAATGCTCAGATAGGTAGTTTAAACCAAACAGAAAGGCATTTAGGTGGATATTTTAGCATTCCGGCACAGCGAACAGATAATGGTGATCGTCTGCTGCAACTGTGCTCAGACAATCGTTTATTTTTAGCAAACACAAATTTTAAGCATAAGGAGAGACATCGTCTAACATGGCGACCCCCTACACCAAACCAACGATGGACTCAAATAGACCATATTGCCATCAGTCATCGTTGGAGAGGGTCGGTAGAAGATTGTCGCTCATTCTGGAGTACCTGCTTGGACTCCGACCATGCCCTAATACGGGCACGCATCTGCTTGCGCCTCACTGGACGCAAAAAAGCCACATTAAAAAGACCCATTAGAACTGAACTGAGTAGCGAGAAAACCAAAAGTAGGTTCCAGGAACAACTGAGGTCACACTTAGGTAGTTCTGAAAACGAGGCTGACCCAGATGTTGCTTGGAAAGCCATACAAACAGCTGTGGAAACAGCAGTGACATCTATCAGTGATTTAAACCACAGGGTTACAAAGAACCAATCGATTTCCTAAACGTCTACTGCACTGATGGATTCTCGTAAACTCATCCCATCAGGCTCTGAACACGATGAAGAGCGAAAACAAATCAAATCTAGGTTAGGCAAAAGTCTAAGGAACGACCGTGAGCAGTGGTGGGCAACGAAAGCAAAAGAGATGGAAAAGGCGGCGGCTATAGGGAACACAAGACAGCTCTACAGACTAATAAACGAAACTGGAATTAATAAGTCAAGTGTAAGTCAGACTATTTCAGAGAAAGACGACACCCTCATCTGCTCTCAGTCCGGATGTTTAGAACGATGGGCGGAACATTTCAGAGAACAGTTCAGCTGGCCTTCAGCTACTCTACAACTACCCTCCATTCCCAGACAGTGAATGGAACATTGAAGTAGGTCCCCCAACTCTGCTGAAGTTCAAAGGCTATAGAATCTGAAGAGGAAGGGCAGCTGGTCCAGATGGATTGGCTCCAAGTCTTTAAGGATGGTGGTCCATTTTAGCGATTAGGTTGACTAATATTTTAGCTAGGATCTGGGAGTTAGACGTTGTTCCATCTGACTGGTCACAATCACTTATCGTCCCAATATATAAGAGAGTGTTAAAATCATCCTGTGACAACCATAGAGGGATTAGTTTAACTAATATAGTATCTAAAATACTAGCCTCGATAATTATCAGACGCCTAACTAAGACTCGTGAACTGCAAACACGAGAGAACCAAGCTGGCTTCAGACCTGGTCGTGGCTGCATCGACCACATATTCACCATTCGTCAGGTTCTAGAACATAGGCATACTTATCGGCGTCCGACAATGGTGGTCTTTCTTGACTTGAAAGCAGCATTTGACTCGATAGACCGCGAGATTCTGTGGCAGTGTCTGTCATCGAAAGGCGTACCTCAGAAGTACATAAACCTTGTGAAGGCTCTTTACTCGAACACTACCAGTCGAGTCAGCGCTTATGGCGAACTGTCATCTGCTTTTGCAACCTCAAGTGGCGTCCGTCAAGTCTGTCCACTTTCTCCATTTTTGTTTAACTTCATCATAGACTTATGGAAATAACGTTCTCATCGACTGAATTCTCGGGCATTGATCTCCTTCCAGGAGGTCCACTTATCGACTTAGAATACACAGATGATATAGTCCTGTTTGGTGAAGACACTGATAAAATGCAGAGTCGTTTGGTAGCACTAAGCAACAATGCCAGGATGTTTGGGATGTGTTTCTCCCCTGGTAAATGCAAGTTGTTGCTTCAGGACTGGTCTGCGTCAACACCTGAACTAAGGATAGGGAGTGAAGTAGTCGAACGCGTTGACAACTTTACTTAACTTGGAAGTCTGATCAGCCCTAATGGGTCGGTGTCTGACAAAATCTCAGCACGGATTCGAAAAGCTCGCTTGGCTTTTGCCAACTTACGTCACATGTGGCGAAGGCGAGATATCCGTCTATCAATAAAATGACGAGTATACTGCGCGGCAGTCCGTTCTGTTTTAATTTACGGCAGCGAAACATGGCCATTAAGAGTAGAAGACACTCGTAAGCTACTAGTATTTGACCACAGATGCCTTAGAAATATTGCTGGCGTCTGCTGGGATCACCGGGTAAGTATTAGTGAGGTTCGACGCAGGGTATTAGGGAATGATGGTAAATCAGTTCATGAGGTTGTGAATCTTCATCGACTGAGATGGTTGGGCCACGTGTTACGTATGCCCGAACACCGATTACCACGACGTGCAATGCTAATGGGTGTTAGAGATGGTTGGAAGAGAATAAAGGGCGGCCAAACCAAACCGTGGCATCAGTGCTTGAAGACACTAACCTCTAGTCTGAGCCATGTTGGTAGATGCAGACTACTTAGTTGGGGTCCGCGTGACTATCGTAACCAATAGTTGGAGACTCTTGGTGACAGGGCTCAGAATCGATCACAGTGGCGTAGGTGTATACACTCCCTGTCTTCTCTTAAAATAAGAGATTAAAATCGCTTCATATCTTTCTTTTTATGAACTAATTCTTTCTTCCTGTATTATATCCTTATACACAATCTTTCTTTTATATATTACCACCTCTGAATTAACTACTTTTATGAATCCGGTGTCCATCTTGTTGTGTTAATGAGGTATAGCAACTTGGACCGATGCATATATGTGCCTTGTCCTACGTTGTAGCTGACTGACTGACTGACTGCTGAAAAAACTGAATTCCTCAAGTCCCAGTTTTATTTTTTGTTACTTTTTGATGAGTTTTATTAATGTAACTCATTCATCATGTACAAATTATTGTACTCAGCTTTAAGCTATACTGTGTAGGCTATTGACACTATCCAACTACCAAAACCGAAATAGATGGATCGAAGTTCGAACCTGGATTTTGTTAAAAGCTGAGTATTCTAACCACTGGGTTATCCATCTGCGTTGATGATACTTATGTTTAGGACTTACCGTTGAATACCTCCAGCTATTCGACTTCGTGAGCGAAGCTGCAACTAAACCGGTTTCAATTAACTAAGCAAAGTCATAAAATCCGTTGTTCACGTTAAAAGAATAAGTCTTCTTATGAGTATTTTTTTCCTTGTAACACTTAGTGATATGCATATGCTATTCGATAAATGCTTCCTTTTCAATTTAAAGGATACTATATTTGAGAATCTAAGTTTTGTTACTGATTGCATCTTAATCACTAGAACTGGAAAGTTGTTATGACCTCTCGGTTGATGGAATTATTTACTCATTACCCCACCTTTTGTTGCAGATTTCATTATTAATGTGATTGTACAAAGTCTTTTGGTTTTAGGTCATTCTAATTACCCATTTTATCCCCCGAATCATCGCAACTTGATCGGCATCTTCTGAGAAAACTATGCGATAGGCTATTGTTTCATGATGAGTTATTCTTTAAAGCTATACCTATCAATATGCTTAATAGTTATAGGTCATTTGAAGTTATAAACCTGATACAATTTTAGTTCTACCGGTCATTGAGACTACCCTTTTGTTGCCTTTTAATATACCTCTGCCGTAAGATATCAGCGGATAGAGAATGTCGTGTGTGTTAGTTGAAGCTTATCGAGATTTTCTTAAAATGGCACATAAGTGTGTAGGTTGATTTTTAACACTTAGCATATGATGGACAGCGCTAGCTGGTAATTCAGCTATAATTCTCTCTCTAATTACAAACGCAAGGTTGCACATATGTCTACACTTCTGTGTAATGTTTATGGAAATCGTCGTTTTGCATTGGTTTTATGTATATTTTTATTGTTTGTAGGAAGCTGAACGTTTTTCTCATCCATGGTCTCCATTTGTTTATCACATACAAAACTACTGCGCTGTAGTTGGACCGTTACGCTCAGCTCCAAGTGCTTTAAGTCATGACTTAGTGTTGTATAATTCTGGTCGTAATTGGTCTGGTAACTCAAAGGCTAGAGACCATCCTCTACTGCGGCTTGACCGCCCTATGTTTGTAAGTTTAGCTGAAATTGTCCGGGACGCTGTGGCTTGTTTGCCCAATGGAGAAGGTACTCGTGCAGATATCACCACCCTTGTACAGAATAGCGGTTTTTTATTGCCAAATGTCAATCCACGGCAGGTGATTTTTTCAGTATTGTTGTGTTTGCAATGTAACTTATATTACTATGGATAATTTATGTGCCATTGTACGTACTTGAAATTATCTGCTTTATCTGTATTTTTCAAGCATAAACAAATTTTAATTAGTCATGAAAGTGTACGACCTAATTTATCACACGGTACATTCTTATATCGAAAGGAAATTAACAGAAACCATCGTAAGTGACTAAATAATATTGACAGTAGCAGTAAACTGAACATGTCTGATACAATTCAGAAGAAAAGAACTAAATCGGGAAATGTTTAAGATAAAAGCCAAATTCATGATTTGAAGGAAGATAATGCATGAATAAATATTTTCTATCAGAACTGATAGATAAATACGGCTATTTCTCAAGGATATTATAAAGATATTCGGCTGATTAAAGTGATTTCTAAATTATTAGCTAACCGTGATTAATCAGAAAGTAGAAGAATATAAACCGGATTTTACACGAAATTCTATCGGTCTAGGCGATCATTTTACCCTACCATAAATAGGAAAATGCGCTAGCTCAACTCAGTCATGGAATTAAGAATTTTGGGAGAGTGTAACATATCCTCGTTTCATTTCAAACGTTTACATCAGTATCAAACTTTATTGATATATCCAGGACTGATTAAAGATTTATTCTTTACTAATATAACTTATAAATGAAGTACAAACTCATGCACTCGGCAGTCGATCAATCAATCATATGTAACTTAGAGCCAAACACTTATGCATGCACTCGAGACTGAGCTACATGTAATGTGTGAGGCTTAATTATACCACTTACCTGTCTGTACCACTCTAGGTAGACGGACATTTTAATCTGCAGTTTGATGATTAAAAGTCAAGCTATTTTACCACTGAACCGCCGTCTCACCACGTCAAGCAGAAGTAAGACTCGATTCCACGCAATATGATTATTGCTAAAACACTTCGTTTCTCTAATTGATTCACTCTGTTATGTTGTATTACTATAACTTAGTAGAAATAAGTGGGACATAACTAATGCCTGTTCAGTTTTGTCTAATCTCCTATCAGAAAGAAGTTATAGTTGTTCCTAAAATTCATAGATTCTGAATTTTTGTTTACTATCCTCGAATTTCTGCTGATTATCTGAAATTATCCAACACTAAATTTGTGTTCATTCCGTTTTTTCGTTTGTATTAAGATTCATCTTAGTTAAAAGCTCTAGCCGAGTTATTTACTTTTTTTTTCTAATAGTTACAACAATGTGTCAGTTCTGCGTTGGATCGATTACAAGGTGAAACTTCTGATCCGTCAGTCTACTTTAATAACAATCGTCGTATGTGGATTTATCGTCACAGACATAGGACTGTTGAAAAGTTTGGTAAGTGATTGTATTTGTGTTATAGCCTGAATTATAACTATGTATCATCACGTTTCTTCACAACTTCAGATAGTCTGCTAGTGTATTTTAGTAGGAATTTTCTGAAAAAAAACTGCATGATGGAACAAAGTATTATATGTTGATCGTTCTCTCAGTTCCTGGCTCGAAATTTGTATTTTCGATGTTCATATCATTCTTAGCTTTGTGTGTTAAAAAATTACAATCAAATAAACTCATGTATATTCAGTAGTTGACTTTATATCAGCGACAGTAATCAACAATTTTGTTTAATTACCTGATTTAGAATTTTGTTTTTTTTCTTATCATATCACATGGTTTCTGGATCTAAAAAATACTTAGTGTCATTACCGTCACTCTTTATTTTTCAGTTATGTAACCTAAAGTTCAGGAACTTAGATTTGTTTGTTATTAAGATCATTCATTACAAAACCTCAAAATTACTTTTCACTTTTATCATAGCTCCAACTGAATCTACTTAAAACTCAGACTGTCAGTACAGTTTACCTCATTTTTATAATTTTTATTATAGTAGATTGGTATTAGCCCTGTTTGAATTAGTTATGTGTATTTATTGTTGATCGAAAATTTACATGGTATCGATTGTTCTATATAGCTATTGTTTAACTTGTCATCATTCAGTCCCCAAAGTCGTTAACAACTGAATTGAGCCATATCAATGGTTATAGACTTCTTGGACTCGGTCTGCACAATTATCGTAACCGAGGGTTAGAGATCTTGTATGGCATCGTTCAGAATTGTGCTCAGTGGTGTAGGTGCGTTCATTCGTTACCTTATCCTAATAACCTGAGTCCAAAATCTCGTACCTTTTTTTCCTTCTCTTGTATCTAATGCTTCCTATTACTAATGATACTACTTTTTTGACCTATTGATTTGTCTTCAATTTGATCGTATGATGCTATTAACGAAATATTCATCCCAGCTATCTTCGTATATAATTATGGACCTATTTTGCGTTAGAGAATAACGAGATAAAATATGTCAAATAAGAAAATGAATTTTCGGTACGTATATTTCAAACACTCGTTGATCGAGTCAGACAACGAAGCGGAGAAGGTCAGTGTGTCAATTCAATTTCACAAAACTTAACTCAATATTTTTGGCCAGACAAAAATAAGTTAAGGTCATGTGATGAATAGATGGAATAAATCCAATGTTATGTTTAAAATTAGAAAATCACAGAACATCTTTATTGTTTACAATCAATCTGACCTACTTTTGTCTGAACTGATCATAGAACAGAAATTCATCTTTGTTTTTTCACCTTAATCCATCTGTACACAATCAGACAAAATGTCTCAAATGAAATACTATAGAATCACATTAAACTATCCTGTTTATTGCAGGTAAATAAGATATATAAATGAGTTCAATGATTTTTCGTTGAAATTTTATTTAGTTCTCTTCCTCACTGTTTTTCATCTTTCATTAGCTGAACTACACGAAGCAAGATGTGCTGTTAATGAAACCAAGAAAATTATTCAACGTGGTGGTAGTACATCTGTTTTGAATACTAACCAAACAGTTAAACCTACTAATAAATTAATTCCTGACAAGTATCCAGAATATTCTAGCAAACAAAATAATTTACGACATAATTCTTCAAAATATTCTGGACGTTATCATAATCATCATCACAGTGGCAGACATATTCAATCGGGTTATATCAGTCGAGATTATGGGTATATGGAATTAAACAGAAACTATTCATTTATTGATGACGATCATATACCTGATATTGAAGAATTAGAGGCAGCTGATGAAGTCAATATGATGGAATATAATTGTACATCTGCTAATTATTCAGTGAATTCTAATAATGTCAAAGGTCATATTGGTACAGTGGTTGATAACACTGAGTATGATGATGATAATGAAATGGATGAAGTGGATTATGAAAATGAAATTCTAAGTGCTTGGGATGATGATAATTCTACCGATCGAATAATCAATCCTCCTACTGGTCAACAACGAGGCAACCAACAATTCAACAAAATGCCTAGATACTTGGATCCATTTCAGTCAAGAAGTCCAACATCATTTATATTGCCATCAAATAATTATTCTCAGTCAACCAGTAATTACAAACAATCACGATTAAATGATTCTAATTATTCATCGAATTCGAAACGGATTCATAAAAACTACACAACTGCTACTGCAGATGATGATGATGATGATGACGTTGAAATCGGAAACTATATTATTGACAGTGAAGAGATAAACGAGGAATATTTCTAAGCTTTCTGAATCATTATCTAATTAATGATGTGTAAATATCTCATATCTTTTGAAAATCGCATTTAGATAAAGTGATTTGTTTTTTTGTTTGTTTTAACTGCCAATAGATTTCCTCCATCTTTTTAACTTCTTTGCAATTTCAAAAAGAGTAAACAACCCTGATATTCTTTAATTTCTATTCCATTCCCAACATTCATTTATGTTTAACTTAACAGCAATTAAAATGTAAATCAAAATTTCATTTGTACAATTATTTGACCTACCTACAAATAAATCAGTAGTGTCGATAAATTATCATCGATCAGTTTAGTTGTTTATTAACCAGCGAAATACTTCCATGTTCAAAAGCCGATAAGTGGAGTCAGAATTTGTTAGCGGGACATAGATTGGATTAAAGCATGTTCCATGCACATTTGCGTTGCTGCACCTGATTGCCTAATTCTTACCCAATCAGTGCTAGCCGATACTTGGAGAAGACTCGAGAATCTCATGTAAAAACTGTAAATATACTAACGTTTTTCTTATTGTGCTTCTTGCTTCCATCTACCCTTGTTATTTGGAATATAATCTCTTTTCCTGTTCAACCGTGTTCTGATTTAGAGGACTTGTCGAGTGAACTGGTGTCCAATAATACTGAGCAATAGAAATAGCTGGGTCGTAACTAAGGAGTCCCATACTTGGATGAAACGGTGGTCGAGTTCTTCCAGGCGTTCACTGGTAGTTCAAAATCGGACGGTCCTTCTTTTCAATGAACTAGATGAACTAAATACTTCATCATTTAATAGTACTTTAGTAAACTATTGCTTATCGGCATAGTACCAATGTACTATTCAAAAGTGCTACATGGCTAAAAGTCCAAACAGTTAACAAAGAAACTGTTTGGGAAATGTCATAAAGCTGTTTTAGACAATAGTTTTTATTCAGAGTTATAAAAGTAGACTAAAATGTTGTCATTAGATTGTGTAGTTTGTTATATGTTACAAAAAGTATCACTGTCATTAAAATCCACTGTTATTGTGTGTCATCATAAAGTCCCACTAAACATCAAATAAAGTTCATATTTCAGTGAGGGCTTATTATTATATTTCAAAGTATATGCTGCAACCACCTGAAGTTCTATGAGAAAATTATTAGTTCAATATTTTTTTATAAGGTAAACATTAAAATAATTAAACTTTATTCTTCAGCACTATCAATAAATTGGTCATCTTTAATCAAAATACTGAAACTAACCGCAATATTGTACTACCATACACGACGAATAGTTCGAAGACATCTATGATCAAAAACACTTAAAACCCACCCATTCCTTCTACTATTAACGGTCATATTTTGTAATTGCATAGCATAAACCTTACTCTTTCATTAGAAAAACTAGCATGCGACCAGTCAGACTGCAAGCTTGCATTAATGGATTGTTTTATATTTTACACACAGTTCCGGTTATTACCTTGAAGAAAATAAGCATAAATATTGAGACAGGACCACATTAATTAATTTTATTCACTTAGGTTCTCCCCTACTGCTTACAACTTACTACATCTTAAGATCATAATTAACATAGATGTATTGAAGCTAATTAAGAATAAGTACGTTTATCTTAATAGAATGAAGCTTCCAATAAGTTTGAAAGTGTTTCAAACAAATACAATGGGTGATAGAAGATTCCTAGTTCTCAAGGCAGTAGCTGTGATCAGACAAGCGTTTATTTTTAGCGAGCACTAATTTTAAGCATAAGGAGAGACATCGACATTGCGACTGCCCACACGGAACGCGCGATCGAATCAAGTTGACCATATTGCAGTCATCGTTGGAGGGGCTTGACAGAAGGCTACCGCTTGTTCTGGAATACATCTTTAGACTCTGATCATGCTCTAATACGATCACGCATGTGCTTGTACTTCACTGGACGCACGAAAACCACATCAAAAAGACCTATTAGAGTCGAACTCAGTGACGAGGAAATCAAAAGTAGATTCTAGGAACAACTAAGGTCATACTTAAGTAGTTCTGAAAACAAGGCTGACATCAGACCTGGTTGTGGCTGCATTGACTACACATTCACCATTCGTCAGATTCTAGAACACAGGTATACTTATCGGCGTCCGACAATGGTGGTCTTCCTTGACTCGTTTTTGCAACATCAAGTGGCGTCCGTCAAGTCTGTCCACTTTCTCCATTTTTGTTTAACTTCATCATAGACTTATGGAAATAACGTTCTCATCGACTGAATTCTCGGGCATTGATCTCCTTCCTTGAGGTCCACTTATCGACTTAGAATACACAGATGATATAGTCCTGTTTGGTGAAGACACTGATAAAATGCAGAGTCGTTTGGTAGCACTAAGCAACAATGCCAGGATGTTTGGGATGTGTTTCTCCCCTGGTAAATGCAAGTTGTTGCTTCAGGACTGGTCTGCGTCAACACCTGAACTAAGGATAGGGAGTGAAGTAGTCGAACGCGTTGACAACTTTACTTAACTTGGAAGTCTGATCAGCCCTAATGGGTCGGTGTCTGACAAAATCTCAGCACGGATTCGAAAAGCTCGCTTGGCTTTTGCCAACTTACGTCACATGTGGCGAAGGCGAGATATCCGTCTATCAATAAAATGACGAGTATACTGCGCGGCAGTCCGTTCTGTTTTAATTTACGGCAGCGAAACATGGCCATTAAGAGTAGAAGACACTCGTAAGCTACTAGTATTTGACCACAGATGCCTTAGAAATATTGCTGGCGTCTGCTGGGATCACCGGGTAAGTATTAGTGAGGTTCGACGCAGGGTATTAGGGAATGATGGTAAATCAGTTCATGAGGTTGTGAATCTTCATCGACTGAGATGGTTGGGCCACGTGTTACGTATGCCCGAACACCGATTACCACGACGTGCAATGCTAATGGGTGTTAGAGATGGTTGGAAGAGAATAAAGAGCGGCCAAACCAAACCGTGGCATCAGTGCTTGAAGACACTAACCTCTAGTCTGAGCCATGTTGGTAGATGCAGACTACTTAGTTGGGGTCCGCGTGACTATCGTAACCAATAGTTGGAGACTCTTGGTGACAGGGCTCAGAATCGATCACAGTGGCGTAGGTGTATACACTCCCTGTCTTCTCTTAAAATAAGAGATTAAAATCGCTTCATATCTTTCTTTTTATGAACTAATTCTTTCTTCCTGTATTATATCCTTATACACAATCTTTCTTTCATACATTTCTACCACTGAAGTGACTACGTCTAGAAATTTGGTGTTGATTTCATTGTGTTAATCGTTTGTGGTAACTTAGACCGGTGTATATGTGTCCCTTGCCCTACGTTGTAGCTAACTGACTGACCAAGATAGTAGGGCTGAAAAAATTAGCCGATTATGTAGTGAACTAACTGGTCACTAGTCAATCGTAATTAATTATCCATTAAAAGTAAATCTATGGATTGGAAATGGAATAATCAGAATAAAAAGATTAATTATTAGAAGGCGCTGGTCATAATATTTTACAGTTCAGAAGAGACGATATAATTCCAAAAGCAAGATTAATACAAGCTAGAAAATTACTTAGGAACAACAAGTTTCTGCAGTAACCTACTGAGAAATACTGAAAAAGTTAAGATAAAAGTCTGAAGTAAACAAATAGCGTATTTCTATTCAACCTTAATCTGGAGGTGGTGTATTTTCAGGGTCACGTGGCTGAAGACCAACGTCTACATTAACGGGAATGTATCTTTTATCGGAACAGGTTGCTCTGAACAAAACGTTATGTACCCCACTCGAAAACTTATAGATCCCTCTTTCATGTTTCTACCAACTAAGTATACCATTTTACTTGTATTTACCAAACCAGTCACACTGATAGAATAGAAAGTAAGGCTTATATTCGATTCTAAAATTATCCCAAAATGTTAAACAGATCAAAGGGTTTTAGTAGTGCTATTTCAAAACATCGCTTTGGTACAGTCTTTCCGCTTATCAAATTTTTCATACCCAAATCCGTTTGAGGCGCTTGTAAAATTTTAATATATTAACGTATTACATCATGTCCAAAAGGTGTTTGAAATAGCATGAAGTACTCAACCTTTGTTTTGTAATTGTTATGAATCCTTCAAAAATCCACCCCACGGAACCGTCTATCCTTGCAAAGAACACAGTAGCATTAACATATTCCTCTCAAAATTTGCACTATGATGTTAAACTTTTGTAGACGATATCCTGATATTGTTATTTCATTACATTTCCAAATCACCGCGATATTTCCGCTCATTATCAAAACCATACACTTAAAAATGTCAAAGTTATATTTCATTTTATTTTTAGATTAAGGCTTTTCGTGTATAATATAAATAGTGAACACAAGTGTCTATTTAATAAAAATCATTCTACTATCCCTACAGTGTTATATAAGAAATAACATTAAAAACTAAAAATATAAAATTCTAAAAACCAATTCCTTAAAGACTATAGTGATTTATAATAAATGTTTGTTTCATTTGTCACTTATTATACTGGTCAAAAACCTATTCTATATATATATATAGAATGCTGATCGGCGGCTTATGCTCCATTAGGAGTAACAGGCGTAAGTTATATATATATATATATATATATATATATATATATATATATATAAAAATTACCTAACAACTATTCTTCATGCATTTATACAACATAACATTCTTGGTAAATATAGTTTAAATGCATAGTGATAATAAATTGCTTTGTATATTTATTTAATGGATTAGATAGTTTAGGAAAATAACTTCTTTTCAAATATAAAAGTTTATGATAGAATGTTATAAATAAATTTTGGCTGATGTATTGACCATTTAAATAAATAAATAAATTTCACTTTTTTTAATATTCAATGGAGACATTTATAGTAGTTATAGTCTAAACTCATAGATATTATTCATAATTATATTCATTTGTTTATAATGTTTAATAGATGATTTGAAAAAAACATTTTCTTATTTAGATAAACATTTAACCTTATGTCATTTATAAATGTTTATGATAGGTTATTACAAATGAAGCTGGTGCATGTATTGATCATTTAAAATAAATACATTTCATTCGCAGTTTATATATAATAATAGTTTCATGGAATACAACATTCAACTTGATTATACCCCTATGCTTATGAAAAACTGGTATGTATTTTCATGTATACATATATATAAGTAAATAGGTTGGATGACAAATTGTCAAATGTAACTCAGAAGAATCTCTTATCCAAATATTTTTCATTTATGGAAAAATGATGTTGACTATCTTTGGGATTTTAGTAAACTGTTGGATTTGGGTTTCTTTTCATATACAATCATTAGATGCATCATTTCTGGTAAGAATAATAGGATTATTTTGTTGTCTATTGTTGAATAAAACCAGCTTTTATAGTTATTTATTTATGTTAATAGTTTAATTAGGGTAAAATAAAAATATACACCATAAAATAATGACTTGGAAAGTTTGATCGTCCACGAAAAACATATGTCAGCATTGTTAATTTGATTGTCTAATCATAATTAAAACTGAGTACTTATGAAAAGGAATATCTGTTACATCATCCATCTTCAATCGTGTTCATATATCAAGTTGTTAATAGTGTCAGATGGTACAAATGAAAATGTTATGTAATAATGCAATACTCATTTAGACTTGAAATAATTTCATGTCAACATTATATGGAAATTAGCTAAGCGAAATACAATTATCCTTTACATACACTTTTTCTCATAAAACTTGTTTCCGTATTTAATTAAAATCAGATTCAATAATTCTGGTAACCAGAACAATGGTATGCTCATTTTGTAATACCTATTCGAAATATCCTTGTACACATTAAAGCGACTAACCCAACCTTCAGTATTAACACTCATGCTTCATAGAAGTTTGCAAGCAACTTTCGAAGCCCCAAATCTCAACATAGATACTGAAAAGTACAGGAGTCAATAATGGATAGCAGGTTTCTAAACGTTTCATTGATAGATTGCGATTAACAAATAATACAATATAAACAACGAATATATTGATTTACACAATCTTAATACTTTAAATAGGTCAATTTTGTCTAGTTGAAGGTTTTATGGTGAATGATTTTAAAGCTATTTATTATATGAATGTCTGGACCAAAAGTTTAACACATACGAAGTTTTCATGGCATATTTAAGATTTCATTTTAGCCAGCAGTTCTAATCTTAAATGAATAATTTCAAAATGTTACCTTAATATTTAAATTTATGGAAATAGGTGCTAACGAAAATTGAGAATTTCAGATAAACAATAAATAGTTTCCCTTACAAATGAACATCAGCAGGCTACATCCTGAAACTAAAAGGACCAATTTTGAAGCTCCATCATACACCGAAAAAGTCTTTTGAAGTTAGATGCTAGTGAAATTATGCACAACCAGAACAGATAATAACAAATGAAGCGGTATCGGGAACTGTATTTGATGGCTGGTTAATCAAAGGATATGTATTAAAAGAGGGTTGTATTCATGAATATGTTACCGAACACAATGACTGACAGTTAAATATTCGTTTTTAGCCTTGGTATATAGGAAAAACAAACACTCGGACTTTGCCTGTTTTCCAAGAAAATATATCAATAGAGCACAAACGACTTACTTTAGTGGATGATTACTATTTCCTTACTGAAATTATTAGTCACTTCCAAAAATCTCTATTTTGATGCACCAAATGGGAGTACTCTACTCTTTTGAATTCCCTTGGTACGTTTTTTAACTCGTTCAACGACAGTCATGCAACAAAGAAAAGTATGTCAAGTAATAAAAGATATCGATATTTTTGCAACGTCCACCGACGGCAAGTTAAGATATCCTTCAAATACTACTAGTAGGTGAGTCTATTATTGAAAAAAAATAGTTTATCCACAGATTACTGATATTTGCTGAACAACTTAAAAACAATACATCTAGAGATATTAAGTGTGAGAAATGTTCATTGATATCTCCTTGTTTATCTGAACATACACAACTTAAAACTACGTGAACATGTTTGCTATAGAATGAAAAATGATGGTTCTCGTGAACAAGTTAACATGTAGCTTCAAAAACAAAAGACAAATATTGTGGACCGTGGGGTGGCTACTCTAATTTCTACCGACTGACCAACTTCATATATCCCAGTACGACCCCAATACTGTTCCCCAATCTCCAATATATCAGAACACGAACAGTAGATGAAATTGTTTATGGGGTCAGGAGAAGAATAAGAATAGGAATGATAATTTACAGACAAATGCATATTTATACAGTTAGGACTACTGTGAATATTGACCAACAGGAAAATGACACGTGAAATAAATATTGACCAGTAAGGGAACGACACTTGAAGTAAATATTGAACAATAGGAAAATGACACTATTTCACGTTCAAGGATAGCATTAGACTTAACAAGATAATTTTTGGTATATTTTTCTGAATATCCCAACAACAAATTTCCGATTCCAACTTATTTATAAATGTTAACTTAACAATGACATATACTATTTAAACCGATTTATTCAGTAATGCAGTTTATGTCATTTATATCATTAAAAATTGTTCGATTTATATCTAAGTCAGTGGACGTAGTATCACTAGTAAAAGAATTTTGAATGATTAGTTCTCTTCATTATACCTTAATAAATGTTCTTTTGATAATTTATTTAACCATTACGTATAAAGTCAATATTCTCGATTTCTAATTTATTACAGCTTCATCATAACTTAAAAACTTCTTCGATAGTTGAAGTGAATTCACCATCACCGCCTATTTTACCGGAACGTTTTTACACTGAATTTTCTATTTACTATACACCAAGAGATGATGATCAAATGCCTTTGCCACCATGGCCACAAATTATTCCGCCACAATTACCATATGCTGTTGGACGTGGTATGACATGGTATGCTTATGATTTAAACATTGCAATTGAATATTATGAAGATTATTGTGTACCAATATTTGAACCAACCAGTTATTTCCCATGTATTCTGTTTAACTTCAATCATACAGCTTATTTAATTGCACCAGTTGATTCAGGTTATGGACCATGTTGTGTATATCGTAAATCATTTGATATACCTAAGAGAAATTTCATGGAACAGTTTGCTAAATATTATAATGGTACAACTGAACAATTGGGATTGGGTTTATTGAATCAAACTATTCAATGGTGGGTTATACCATCTGATAATGAAAATCAACATAAATACTATCTGAAGCAAAGAAATAAATTTTCATTAACTAGTCATTCAGTTTTCGGTGGTTATGGATGGACTGTTGAAAAATCAAAAAAGTATGTCAAAAATTTTTCTGTTGTACATAAGATATTTTAATGAATAATCATATCATGAAGGTTTGTTAATATTAAGGTTATCAGATATCGAAAGTGAATAGCATTTTCAATGTTGTAGCATAAAGTTTAAAAATTAAGTGATAGAGTAGTGTAAGCGGTAATACTTAGTGGCTATCATATAAAGCGTCATTCCCAACTAATGATGACCTGAAATTAAATGGTAAATAGTTGTTGTGCCGTTCTGTTTACATATATTCTTTCTGCTACCTTTTCTTTCATAAGACGTTGAAGATTTATAAAAAGGAATCGAGATGTTATTAAATATTAAATAATGATTTGTTAACGCAAACAAGGTTTATATTCCCTCAAATCAAATCTTATGTCAGTTCTAAGTTTACATTCACGTCACTTAGATTCATAGTTAAGAAAATTATCGCTAACCTATTCGGACACAAAGTAATTTTGTGAAGTTAGATTTTACACATCAAGTTATTGATAGTGACTTTCAGTTTCGAATGATTGCTAACGAGTTGTATACATATTTATGCTTGGTTTGAAATAGTCTTTGATTTGTAGACATGATTCCTCTAGTTTCTGTACTTTAAAAAATCCATGATATTTCACTTGACAATTCGCTAATAAATATCATATAGCGCTCAAATTATGAAATGGATTCTCCATTTAAAAAGATATTATAAATGATCATAAATGGTTCATTAACAAGTTCATTTTCATTATATTCATCTGTTGTATTATGGAATTTAAACAGATAATGTTAATATTTTAAAAATCCTTAAGGGTTACAGTTCCAATTCTTATAAAAGTAAAATGACAATATCCTCTTCAGAAAATGATCATTTAACAGGTTATAATAATATTGAACAGAAATTACTTCTCAATCACATTTACCAATAAAATGATTTTATTTTAAACTGAATAATGTATTTTAATTATAAAGCATTTAAACGTCAGAAAGAAAATCATAAGGTAACTTACATCACGTATGGAATTCAACTAGACGATCCTTAAACATGAGGAACTAGTATTGGATCACATTGGGAATTCTCACCTAAGTTTATTCCAAATAAGCGTGTGATTATTATAAAATGAAAGTTTTTTAAAAAATTCTTCATTTAGATGGCTCATGAGCTGAAGTTGAAAATCTAAATGGGTGGATGTCAACTCAGCGATTTGAAATTTATCAGCTCTCTGATCAGTCTGAATGTCCCATGTTTGCTCACTGGTGAGATTGTGGGTGCTAACTGATAAACCATGTACTACGGATGAGCGGGTATTCACTGGTTATCAAAGTTTGTCTAGCCACAGTCAGGACTTAACGTAAACCTCAAGTTGAACAATCTTTATGAACACTCAGCGTTGACAGTACAATCTCGACTGACGTGTTACTATAGAACCCAATCAACATACACGTTGGTAAAGGACTTAGATACGAAAACAGAATTGCGTCTAAATTCTAAAAATATTAATAATCACGGAACGATAATTGGTAAACCAACTGACATGGGAACCAAGATTTTCTAATCACATGATGTTTCAGATGTGTATACAAAAATATCTTTTTCGTAAAGAACCCTTTTCCAACATATAGGATTTTATAGTCATAATACTCGTATTATAATAACCACATTATACCACTGATTAGCATAGATTTCCTACAAAACGAGTATGCTAATTGTAGTTCGAACTTCTATTTAACAATCCATCATTCATATAATGTAGTTACTAATTATTGTTAAATTTCGATATTCTTTGCTTTAAGTGAAATTCGAACGAGGTTTTGTTTTAGTTTTGATTATTTCCACATAATACTGGAATTATTATTGCACTGTTAAAATTGGCTCCATCCATTCCGATAATGCACAGAGAAGACGAAGGTCATCATCGCATTATCAAAATTTATCAAAGAGACTAATTGTTTTAAATTTCATACCTATTCCATTTAAACATCAAGTAATTTGTGTGACTAACATAAAAAATGATTTACACTCATATATAATTAATTCCAACGGGTTTCGCTGATTCCGATATACTGTGAAGTTGTATCTCCTCATTTCCGTCGCTATTTGACTGGTCCTCCTGGTCTACCACATTGTCCAGACGTTCCACGTACCTATAAAAATTGTTGATCTGGTTATTAGAAGGGAAATCTGCCTCATGACTTCCTAAGAATCTCAGCTTTCAACATGAGACGTCATAATTCTTCCTTCAACTCTCAGGGAATAGTTTAAATGGTTTAATTTGTTTAATCTGGGTGGCGTTTTTTTAACAGGATTGTTTTCTACGAGATGGGGTTGCCAAATGCACGCCCAACTCTCCTCCTTAACCTGGGCTTATGATTGGCAGTAAATCTAGAAAAGCTACGGGCGGAGGACAGCAAAGGCTAGGTACGGGAGAGATGCTACTGTACTCCATTCACGAAGAAAATGCTCCACACACTTAGAAAGTTGCTCTGATGCTGCCCAAAGAACCACCAAAAACACTTACAGGATGGGAATTTCATGGATCCAGGATCATCAAAGCATCCTTCAAAACAAAAAAGGAGGGATCACAATGAATGTTAACTGATATGATGAACTCACTAATGATAGAAATGAAGACGACAAAGACCAGTTTTACGAGGCTGCAATCGATAATAGAGAAGTACCCAGGTAAGGACCTAACCATCCTGATGGGAGATCTAAACGCCAAAGTCGTAATGGACAACAACAGTTATGAAAATATCATGCGACGGCATGAACTGACTGGGAGAAAGGACCGAGAGTGGTGAGAGATTTCCATATTCATGTGCATTCAACAAAGTGGTTATGTGTGGGACAATATCCCCCTACAAACGCATACATAAAGCTACATGAGTCTCACCGGACCACACTAGAGAGAATCAGATCGACCATATTTGCATCAGTAAAAAATCCAGAAGAACAATGGAAGAAGTGAGAACCAGTAAATGAGCTGAACTGGCTTTAGATCACCCCTAGATGATGTTTGCCAAGATGAAACTGCAGCTAAAAAGAGCAATAAACAACTGAAGAAACATTATTCCAAAGGTTCAATACAGCCCTGCTTCGAACTACTGACGAACTCAACGAATTCAAGAGAGCTCTCAACAAAAGGTTGCAAGCCTTACAGGATCTACTGAAAGAAGAAACTACTATGAAATACAACTGGGAAGGGATCAACGAAGCACTAAATCTGACGTGTCCGGAGGTTCTAGGCTGCAAGAAGTATCATCATAAGGAATAGATCTCTATCGAAACCCTACACAAAACTCAAGAAAGAAAGGTAAAAAAGACAGCAATTAACAACAGCCGAACAAGAACAGAGAAAGTCAAGCCACAAGTTGAATATAAAGAAACAAACAAGGAAGTGAAGAAGAGCATTAGAGCTAAAACGCAGAAATATGTGGAAAACCTAGCAACGACAGCGGAAAGAACTGCAACAGGAGGAAATATGAAACAACTATATGACGCTATGAAGAAACTGATAGGGAAATATAGTAAACCAGAGAGATCGGTCAAGGACTAAGAAGGCAAGACAATCACCTAGATTAAAGAACAGGGGAACAGATAGGTAGAATACTTCAAGGAACTCTTGAACAAAACAGCTCCACTGAACACACCGCACATCGAAGCAACACACACATACCTTCCTATAAATGTCGCTCCAACAACGGTCGAAGAAATCACGATGGCCATCAGACAAATCGAGAGCGGAAAAGCAGTAGGACCTGACAATATACCAGTTGAAGCACTCAAGTCAGACATGGAAGTGAGTGTAAACATGCTACACATTCTCTTCAGAATAGTTTGGGAGGAAAAACGAGTGGTGACGGAATGGAAAGGACACCTCATCAAGATACCAGAAAAAGATCTGAGCAAATGTGAGAACTATAGAAGAACCACATTACTGTCAGAACCAGAAAAGGTTTTCAACAGTGTTGCTGAACAGAATGAAAGACTCAGTAGACGCCCAACTTCAAGATCGACAGACTGGATTATGTAAGGATCGGTCATTCACAGACCAAATCGCAACGCTACGGATAATAAATAGTTGAACATTCAATCGAATAGAACTCATCATTATACATCAACGTCCTTGATTATTAAAAAGCGTTTACAGTGTGGATAGGAGAACATTATAGAAACTTCGACCTGATAAAATCGTCAACACCATTAGAGATTAATACGACAGACTACACTGCAAAGTCGTGCATGGAGGACAGCTGACAAACGCATTTCAAGTAGGGACCGGAGTCAGGAAAGGCTGCTTACTATCTCTCACCCTTTCTCTTTATTCTAGCGTTTGACAGGATTCTGAAAACCCCCACAGCTCACGGGAAGCATGGAACACAATGGACAGATTGTATGCAACTAGACGATTTGAACTTCACAGATGACCTAGCCTTTCTATCCCAAACGCAAGGACATATTCCGGTCAAGACAACCAGTGTAGCAGCATCCTCTACATCAGTAGGCCTCAAAACACACAAGATAAAAAGTAAGATCCTCAAATAAACACAGAGAACACCAACTCAATCATACTTGATGGAGAAACTCTGGAAGAGGTGGCAACTTTCACGTACCTGAGCAGCATCATCGATGGACGTAGAAGATCTGATGCAGACGTAAAGGCGAGGATCGGCAAAGCATGAGCAGCATTCCTACAGTTGAAGAACATATGGAACTAAAAACAACTGTCAACCAATATCAAAGACCGAATCATCAATACGAACGTCGAGACAGTTCTACTGTGAGGAGCTGAAACTTTGAGAACTACTACAGCCATCATCAAAAAGTACAAGAATTTATAAACGGTTGTCTACGCAAGATACTCAATATCCGTTGGCGGGATTCCATCAGCAATAGCCTACTGTGAAAGAGAGCAAACCAACTCCCAACTGAAGAGGAAATTAGAAAAAGATGTTGGAAGTGGATAGAACAAACGTTAGGGAAATCATAAAACTGCATCACGAGGCAGGCGCTAAATTGGAATTCTGAAGGGAAACGAAAAACAGGTAGACCAAAATACACACTGCGTCGGGAATTGGAAACAGACATGAAAATGATGAACAGCAACTGGAAGCAACTCGAAAGGTTTGTCCAGGACAGATTTCGATGGAGAATACTGGTGGACGGCCTATGCTCCACCACGAGGGATAACAAGCGTAAGCGAGTAATAATTAATTACTCGTCAAGTTTTGGGGAGCATTTCGAAAGATACTTTTGAAAGTATCTTTATGATTATGTGTAATAATTTGAAAGTAGTTGTCAACTAATTAAACATTATTATTTAGTAAAATTCTTATGCGAAATTATTTGTTAATTTGAAGATCAAATCAGATAGCACAATTTGAAATATAAAACTGCTCTTTCCTACAGGTTTAACATCTCATCTGACACGATGCCCATATATGATGCTTTACCTACGTTAGCAGTTAGTCAATGACTTGACTTTGATACATTTTGACATGCTATAGACATATTCCTACATTGTTGTATCCATCAACACCATAAGCATTTCCCTGTAACTAAAGATCCTCATTAATCAGCAATACCATCTTGATTATCATAATAATCCTATCCATCTATTAATTCTCTACAAGGATACGAGATATGATAATTTAATTTTATTAAAATATTCGCTTTCTTTATTGTTTTAGTCGTGTACCTGTTTGCTTTTGGTACGAAGGTAATGTTGGCTGGACTCAACAGCTGTTTTTCAATTTTGTTACTGACGGACCGAGAATATATGATCTGGAAGGATTTCAACTACCAGAAATATGTAAAACTGATATAACCTGTATTTTTAGACCATGAAATGTTTTTAGACAAATAATTTGTCTAGTTGAGTGATAAAATTTGTATGAGTTTGACATAAACATGTCTCTATTAGCCTATTAATCATATGTGGGTATTAAGGACTAAAAGTCATTTTGTTTCTTAACAGTTAAAACCATCTTGACGTGTTAATATTTCTTATTTGGAATACTTTTCTCTTGTATTTCTTCAGAATGTAGTCATTGTTTCAATCTGTATAGTGCATTGCAGTACCAATCAACTTTATGTCACAAATAAATAAGAGGTCTAACAACAGAAGGTTGGAATTATCATGCTTGACATACATTATGTTCACCAGACACAATTTAGTCTTAGATAAATTAGCAAAACGCAGGACAAATCATTTGATGTAGTAGGAAATCTGGATCCAAGAATCGATAAGGCTCGAAAAATGCAACATAAAGATCGTAACATCAACCCATTAAGATCGTTAACGTATTTTTTTTTCTAAACAGAGTTATATGTGTGATCTATATTTATATCTGCTTTTCTCAATATGGTCAAGTAACATGGGACACTGCAGGTTGAAAATACAAAATTGATCATATTTGAATATCAGTCCTTAGGTCATTACTTATAACTTGGAGTTACGAAATAAACAGTGCACGGATTTCAAGTAGATGACAAGGTGTTATATCAAATAGTCGTCGTTTAACAATTTATATACCTAGAACAAGTTTTCTACTATTTATCATAGCTACCTGAAACGAACTGCATTTCGACTGACGTAAAATAAATTGAGAAGAGATTTAGAGTACTTAAACAGACCGTATGTGACTAGATTTCAAGTTGTACAACAATTTCAGAGCATAAATAATAACTTAGCCTAATCTATAAACTATTCATATATAACTACCGTAATCTAACAAATAAAACGCATAATTGTAAACATTCACCACGAAAGAAACATTAATGCATATATTACATATCATGTTTTCTCTCTCTGCCTTTACAGTTAGTAATAATTTTAAAAATAGCATATAACCTTATGATATACACAGGAAAAAATACTTAAAAGTAAACAAGCAACAAAACAAATTAACAAAGAATAATTCTGAATACAACTGTGTGTTATTACAGGAAGAAAAAGTGAACTAAATTTAGGGAACAAAACAAAACAAAATGTGACGGTAACATATATATGTATATATATAATCAGAAAAATGTTATATTATTAAATATCACTTATTGAGAAAGCTTGTACTGGATGCGTATTACTAGTCAACAATCTTACAGTCTAGATCAGTTTCTGAAGATTCAATGAACGAATGAGTTAGCGGTGACCATGGTGGTTGTAGATATTTACCTGCCAAAGGAGTACAATGTGAACCAGGAGATTCAATAAAATATTTGGATACCTAGGAAAGAAATAACAAACAAAAATCTTTTTATCCAAATAATAAACAAAACTGATTGAGTAAATCTTTAAAAATGGTATGTATTTGTTGATAAGCAGCTTAATAAATGATTTCCGCTTGCATGAATAATAAATTTAGTCATCTTTTTAAAAATATATCCAAATGGATTTAAACGGGTATTTACACCTTTTACGTCAAAACCATGGACATTAAATAACTTGACTTTATCTATAAATGTAATTATCATCATGCTTTTCATTTAGTAACTTCCAGAATGAATTCATTCAAAGCAGATTTCCTTTAAAAAAAGTCATTCTTGTTTGATAGACTGTGCTTCTGAAATTACACTTTAAACAACAATCGATTGTTATTATAATTAATCAGATGTCTGACCAAGTGAATTCAAGTCTTCTTTACATGCACAATATACAAATGATGAGTAAATAAATATGATCAGAATGATGAAGTCTAAGAAAGTGTAAGATTCCCAGAGAAAGAACAACAGAATATTGTCTATGATATCAATTGTCGTGATTGTAATGCTGCGTATGTGAGCGAAGCTTCAAGGCAATCGAATGTGAGGTTGAAGGAACACAAACAACGTTCGAAAAATGTTCCCGAATCCTTGGTTGATCTAAAGAAACTTGAGAATAGGTCGACGATAGCGTTACATGCATTGGAAACAGGACACAAGATCAATTCTGAAGGGACCAAAATACTTCAGAAAGGTCTTAACACAAAAATCGAATGATGAAGTGTGGCACATACATATTCGTGCATCATTATACCAATATTACCGTGTTTAAATAATAATAAAGTATCCATTTACTTGGGCATCACCATTAGCTATTAAAAAGTAAACATAACTCAAATTCGGATGTATTGACTTGTACTTGATAAATATAATGCATTAAATTACCAACCATAATATAACGATCACACTTACTATATAAAAAAGCATATTTCTCTGAACATCAGATTCACTAATCTCTTTACCAAGTTTTGACGGGTATAAAGGCATTGATTCGATTTGTTTTTCAAGTGCTTCAGCCTTTAAAAAATTTACGACTAGTTTCCCATATTCCTCTGGATTATAATCAAGTTCATTAAATGTATTTCCTAATGAGAAATATGTATATAAGTAAACAAAACAATCATAGATTATAGGAAATAATGGTTATGACAATACGTTAATAACAATTGATTAAATCTGGTTAGTGAAAAAAAAAACACTTAAAAATAAGTAATTTCTATATTTAAAAAAGAATTATAATGGCAGATCGGACGGAAAATTATTTTATCTTCTGGAGCACATTCACGTCAATATAAGATGAAAACGGAGAAAAAATATCGTCAAGAATCTTCCTAAATTTAACCATGACCACAAGTGAAATAACCTTATGTACAATTGATAGGCTCTTTTGGAACTTCTTTCAATGATAAATATCGCTGGAATGAAAAATCAATTTAGACTCCATACTTGTCACTATTTATTTACTTTATATGGTACAATGAATATTAATGCCAAAATGTCTATCAACTAACAACTTACAAAAATGTGCAATACATAGTTTTTGTATAATTTTTTTTATAGAAAAAGAACAAGATAAAATATGAATATCATAACTCTTTGTAAACTGAATTCCAACGTGTAGGAACCATAGGAAAACAATATACGCGATTATCACAGAAGATAAACTAATTATTGCACAAGGAGAGAGAGAGAGAGAGAGTGAAAAAGCATGGATAGGGTAAGTATAAAAGTGAGAAATAGGTTAACGGTTTCGTTAGAAAAAGTACAATCTGGTGAAAAATATCTCTACGTGACCACTGACACGCTTGTTCTACTGGTTAATAATTGGGAACACAAAATTGCGAATGACACCAGAGCGGAATGAAAGAGAAACATTTTACAGGTCACACAGACTAGTTATTATATACAATTTACATACATATATGTACACCTCCTACTTGAGAGTTCAAGGTTGATTTGATAACGTTAGTTTGATTTCGTAGTATGACAAGACACCAGCTAATTTACAATTCGCTTGGTCTAGTCAATATCAGGCAACAGTCTTAGTACATTAAATATTATTAAAAAGTGGAATCAAATAACGAAAATATTCATATGGAAATTGCTTACTTTGTTCTTCAGCGCTAAGCGATAAATATGCATTGAGGATGGATTCATTTTCTACGGTCATCAGATACGGAAATCTATAACAAACAAAACACCCCATATATATTTCCATGAAATGGCATAAATTACCACTGTAGGGTAACGACTGATAATAATTAGTAATTATATAATTTATAAAAGTCTCTTCCCACGGTTATTTTTCAAGAAGCACCATAGAAAATAACAACGAAAAGAAAACATTCATTTGGCCAAGTAATTCTCTCTCTCTCTCTCTCTCTCTCTCTCTCTCTCTCTATATATATATATATATATATATATATATATATATATATATATATACTTGTATAAAATTAGTCCAGCCTAAGAAATACATGAACCATCAGTTTGTCCATGATAGTTGGAAATACCCATATTTTTATGCATAACAGCAGTAATACTTTTGGTTTCTTATCGGAAAATCAACACCGTCACCGTGACCGTATTTAGTATCAACGGCCTCTTCTAGTAGGACATTCGGAAAAAAGCCCCACATCACAGCTGAGTCCTCATTAGTTGGATGCGTAATTTAATTATACCGCTCGATACACAAATACTAAGAATTTATTGTTCCAATCTTACAGAGAACGAAATGAACCTCCCGAAGATACTTATCAAAAACAGGTATCCATCGGTAATTGATGAGAAAATAAAACTCAAAACTCCTTAAGTACAAATAGTCTCTACATCAAGGAAAATTCTTTATATGAACGTTAATTTCAAAGGTGATTTAACAGCAAGCATCATGAAAAGCAGAATTTCCGACTCTCTCAATAGAACGTTCTTCGCTTAACCTTGCTATTATTGTCATCAAGCTGACCAATATTCAGTAACAATTTAACAAAACTCTTATTTGACCAATTCCATGTACATTTAACAATTTACCTTTTCAAGTAGAGTGAGGTATATAGGTCGTTCGACGCTTGCTTTATGCAAAAGAATTCAGTTCTATCTTCACTATTGACCTTTTACCTGCAAATTGATTTGTTTTTGTTTTTATGATTCTCCTGATTACAGTTCATTTCAATTTCAAAATCTTATCACGCTGAGCATTTCCTTTCCAAGTACAATTCCTTATATATTTCCACGATGAATATTCAAGCTCTCAACAGCTAAGTTAGTATCAGTTTCCTTAATAATAATAATAATGTTTATATTTATTTAAATGCGCTGTTCTCATATATGATTTCTCTTTCATTAGCCAGTTCAGATGCTGATTAATCTTTTTCTTAGTACAATATCATATGTTTGTACTGTTTTTCTATAGTGAAGTAATCATTATTATATAATAACTATCAAATTTTTGAGAGGTATTATTGTTTATTTAAGAAAACTATTATGGAACATTTAATAAGTCTTAATGAGAATACTCTATCATTTTTCATCAACTCATTCATAACTTTTGTGGTTTTTGATAATGAATATATGAAAATTGGATGAGGCAGAATAACTTAAAACGATCTGAAGCAGAAATCGTCTGCTTGATAGTTTACAATAACTAAATTACTATTTTATTGTAAGGGTCTGTAAATGACTAAGTAATACCTCGCAAATAACTGTGATTAGGAAATAATTTATAAAATCGTCATTATTTTCAGTGTAGTTACTTCTTGAAAGATTCAATGTGGAACTTACGATAATTCAACCATTAAGTTATTTTACATAACCATACCCATCTACTTATCTTTCCGACAAATTGATATCACTTACTGATTTCACAAATAACATTGATATTATCTTCTACGATTATTAAGTAAAATTTAAAATACATGATGTAAGTTCAATAACAAAGAAATATTGCTTTCGATTCTAAGTAATTATTAAATGCGAAATATACTGAATCACACAAATTTGTTACTTTTTCGTAATTTAATCAGTAACGAGGAAAATATTTAGCGACAATAATTCCTAACTAGCAGGAGAAATACACACCTTTTCTCATTTT